AAGCTACTAGTAACAAGAAACTATTAGGAGGTCTTTGAAGCTACTAGGAGGTCTTTGCAGCTACTAGTAACAAGAAGCTACTAGGAGGTCTTTGAAGCTACTAGTAACAAGAAGCTACTAGGAGCAAGGATGACATTTCTGGCTCTGAGGTTCTGCTTGGGTTCTCGGGCTCAGCTTGTTTCTTATTTTGATGTCTTTCAGGGTCGGTACCGAATGCGGCAAAGTCACAGATGCCCTATGACTATGGCGACGATGGCACCTTCATACTTCCTCAATGATATCTCAATTTTGTTTCGAACCGAAAATCGGGTCACTTATAAGAGAATTGTCTTTTCTTCGGTGGTTTGAGAATGGACTGGACGACATGACAACATAAGCTCCATTGTGTAGAGGCTGTTTGCAGGTTCACCTGCTTGACAAGCATCATGTTCAAAACATTGTAAACCCATAGAAGTTGCCCCAATCCAGACTCACAATTCGACGACTCCTCTGAAGAACTTCCAAAGGAAGGTGTTCGTAGCTGGAAACATCTAGCCCGGCCTTGCCATTTGGGCAAGTTAGCCGTGCTCGGCTGCGAAGCGCTGCGGGATTTTCCGCGACCACGTTCTGAGGAAAGCGTTCAAGACACCAGAGAAGAGCCTCTTCAGATACAAAAGCAGTCCGCAGGCCAATCAGGAGCTTGAAGATGCAATGTTTCTCGGTTTGTCGTTTGCTTTTTCCAACACCTCCCGAAGGATTCGTTGCAAATAAATGCTGTCAATTCCATTTGCCTCTCCGTTCCCCTTATAAAAGACCTAAGAGCATCATGACTCATGATAACAGCGCAATCATCGTCGTTCAAGCATCAACAATCTCAAGGCATGATCACCTGCATCATTCATTATCATCGCAGCGTCATCAAAGCAGAGGTACAAGTGTTTTCCCGGTCTTTTGAGAGCTTCATCCGCTGCTGCATATTCTGGGATTGCGCAAACAGAGGCGCGCGCACATGCGAAGGTATGTAGAGGTCATGTACATCTAGAGATTCAGAATGGGCAGACACAGGTGTATAAATAAAAGGTGCGCAGATGCAGATGCAAAGGTGGAGTATCAATAAGGCACAGATAGGCACAGTGATACGGGGATAAATGCAAAATGCAGATGTGAAGAATACAAGGTTGACTCCGGATGCGGTTTTCCAGTTTTCCGGTTCTGCAGAGGCCCAAAAGTGCGGAACAGTGTTCTTGGTGATGAGTGACCTGCAGACGTCCAACAGTTTTCATGGTTCTTACTTCACACTCTGCAACTCAACACGCAAGTAAAACTGGAACCTAGACGTTCATTTGTGCCATATAATCTACATAGCTTCATTTGCGCCAGAGACGCCCCCCAGAGGTCGATGTTGTATTTTTCGCGCCTTTTCATAGCAAATTAATGGCACCGTGAAATTATTTGTCACAAGCAAAACACGATGTGAAAATCTGTTGAACAAGTTCAACTCATATTCCAATGCAACCCTACCACCTGTTGCCTGAGGAGGACGCCTTCAGCTTGTCGCCGGTGTCCTTTCAGAGCGCTCAGCTGAATGAGCCCCGGAAAACGCCACGGAAGATTGCCAAGGTGCCGTTTAAGGCCGGATGTCCGTGGCACGCGCCGCATTTCTTTGGGGCAGGCTTTTAATATTGCACAACCTAAGGCGGACCAAGCTAATTGAGGGGCTCATAGTGGGCTTACAAAAGAGAATGGTGGTGAAAGCAGTGAGTTCTAGTTGAGATTGAATTAACATCGGGGTCTTTTGAGCTTGCTTTCTGCTAACCATTGCTTCGCAGCATTAGCCCTAAACGCTTCAAACTTCAAACGGTTTCCTGGCTTTGCCAAATCCTTCCAGCCGCCCGCTCTGAGGTCCTGGACGCACCGCAGCTGCAGGATGATTTCTACTTGAGCCATGGCGCGTGTCAACACCCACTAGTGGAATCTAGCAGAATCTTAAGCCGTGTTTAAGATTAGTTGATGTTTGTCAAAGTTTGTTTTGCGGAGGTGGGAGTGGGAATGTCGTGGGGGTTGTTGAGGTCATGCTGAACGCTGATAAGCTCAAAGCTTTTCGTATCACATCGCCACATGTGAGTGACGCTGTTGGCTGCTCGAAAGCATGTTCACAGGCTTTTGATGGAAAATCCATCGCCTAGGAACTTGGTGGATTGGTCTCCCAGCAACGTGCTCTCTGCGCCTTGGATGTCACGCGGGGAATTTCACAAACCAAAAAGGTTTCACAGGTACATCCCCAAACAGTGTGGACAGTGACCGGCTAATTCGCTGCTATTTACAGTACATTCATGCCTCTCGAAATCCTCGAAGCGCATTTCGACTGCGCAGGCTCGCAGAATCTGGGTGGCCGCGGCGGGTGCTTCTAGCGACTGCGCTCTCGTTGTGGTGCCGTGCGCATTTTGGTACATGGTGGTCACTTTTCGTGGCAGGCGCAAGGGAAACCTCCTGCTTTGGTGCTTCAAAGGCAACTTTTCGTGACAGGTGCAAGGGATCGGAGCTGTTGCACTTCGAAATGCAGTTTTCGCGGCAGGTGCAGCACTTTGGACATGGTGGTGATCGTCGAGGAGCTCAGATTTCGTGACAGGTGCAGTGAGTCGTGACTTTTGGACATGTGGCTCGTTTGCAGATTTCGTGGCAGCACTCTGTGACCCTCGATGCGCAGATTTCGTGGCAGGCGCAGCACTTCACACTCACTCTCACTCTCACCCACTTGCTCACTCTCACACTCCCACTCACACCCACACTCACTCTCACTCACACTCACTCGCACTCGCACACACACACTCACACTCACTCACTCTCCCACTGTCCCACTCTCACTCACACTCACACTCCCTCACACTCTCACTCTCACCCACACCTTGATCACCACCATCTCTCTGGACCCCAACGCGTCTAGATCTCTAGACTTTCTGCTTATAGACCTCACACACACTGTTTGGGGCCTCTTGCCGGGATAATCTTTGGTTGTTTGGCGCCAAATATCGTGTGTCAGGCTGTCGCTACAAAATGATTTAAAGCTTGAGAAATTAACTTGCATACCTCAAAGGTTGAACGCAGCATTCGGAGGTTCACCCACTTAGCAAACACCTCATTCTTGCCTACCGCCTTCATGACATATATAAACCTGTGAAAGTGCTGGGTTTACCGTTCTTTTCTTGTTTTTGTGGCCAGGCTCACTTCGCGTCCATTGAAGAGTTTTTGAAGTTTACGCAGCCATACATAGGCCGTAAAGGGGCCTTCCAGATCTCTAGAGCAAGAGTATTGAAAATGGTCTCCCTCCAGAGGACGGTTTCCACGCTGTTGTCGCATCTGCCTGCTGGCCACAAAAGATCTAAAAGTTCAACTTTTGCGGCTGGCGCGCTATTAAACACAAGCATTTTGGTGTCCTGAGGTGGGCCTCAGTAACTGCGTGCCTTGACCGAGAGGGATGATGAGGATGGGAACGGCAACTTGTGTTGTTGGGTGTCGGGTGGATGTTTGATTTGTAGATCTATGGATTGCAATACTTCAAGTCCCAACCAACAGTTGAGCGAATATTGCACCAGTGTTTCCTGGCGCGACATTTCGGGCAACGTCGCGCAATTCTGGCGACAAAATCCTAATCTCTGTGTTGAGCCTGTGTCATCCGCAAGGCAACTTATACATATATATATATATATACGTGCATACTAGATAGGCTACCAGACGGCTCAAGCTGTTTAAGCTCAAGCCGGTGGTGGCTCAACTTTGACAACGGCACTGGACCTCTACTCTGAGCGGGCCCTTGTGTACGTCCATGGCACCTGTCAATCTCGCTTGGCTCCTGCGCGCTACTTCCTGGAGGCCCTCTACCTCTACTTGCTGACTTCTGCGCTTCTTTCCTCCCACTGATTGTCACAGGCCGGTTTGAGGTGGGCGCAAGGAACATGTCCTGGGGCAGAGCGCATCAGGTTTGCCGGCATGATGGTTGCACCAATTGGATTTGGAGACCGCATACAGGATGGCTTCACATGTAAGAAATGCATTCAATTGTATGCGGTGAAGATCCCAATTTCCAGAACTTACAAACGATGGCAAAGACCTCGGATGGCCTCTGTGACACCGCAGCCACCAGGTTTGAGTCCGCGCAAAGCGCCAAAGCCATCCAAATTACAAATGACCACAGCTGAGATTCTTGCCCCAGGTTGGGATTCTTTGGGTGATTCCTTCAAGAAGGAGCTCACCGAAGTTGGCATCAGCCCAGTCATCAAGACTGCTGAACATCCTCAAAGAGAACCTTTCCCAATTGCCCACACCGGTTCGTGAACTCGTTGAGCGAATCACAAAGCCAGAGCCCGAAACAGAACAGGCAGTGGCAGGGCGTTTGAAACAGCCAAAATTGCAGTGGGGTGGCTGCTACTCCCACCACCAAAGGGTGGAAAACTGGCGGCTTCTTGTGCCTTTACCCGGCGCCCTATCATGCGCACCTTTTGCACCACTACGGCCATGATGAGGGTGGAGGGATTCTCTCTGGTCCTCATTCAGATCTACCTCCGCACTGGGGAGACGCTACAATCGAATCTCAATGCGGACATCCTCTCACAGCTTTTCATTGGAAAGACTGGCAGAATCCTCCAGAAGAGTTAGCGTCCATGGTGGTTCAGAGCAAATATCATGTGCAGATTGGCGCATCCACACTTCATGGGGCTCAGGTGGATTCCTGGTCTTCAATGCTGCCAACAGTCTTGCGGAGCTTGAATCCACGTGGGACGCGCCATGGGAACCTCATTGTGGACTGATCTTGCGGCTCTTGCAGTTCAACAGCTCCGCAGCTTTCCTGCGGTCGGACTTCATCAACCTCCACGGCAGTGGGTAGAATTTCATGGGCCCTTTTTGATGATAGGCATTCAGATCACTGACCTGGCTCGGTGGTGCACTCAGACGGAGCGTTACCTGACTCAGGGTCTTCCTCATTCTCGGCTTCAGAGAGGAGGCTCCAGATATGCTTCATCTCGAGTCCGATACCGGAGATCCAGCAACATGCCTCATCTGATCTGTCTCAAGATCTATTTCGAGCAGCTCTTCAGCAATGGATCGAAGACAGCTCCAGAGATCCGACTCACTTGCAACAGGCCATTCAAAGGTCAGGAACACCAAGCTCGTGTTGACAACAATGAGGAGTACAGCAGGCTCACTCCAAAGGTCTAAGAGGTCTGTTTCGCACACCTTGCGACAACGTGACATCCCTTGGCAACGACCTTTTCAACATCTTCCTCTTCAAGAGCGGCTCCAGGCGCTTCTTCAACAGTGGGGCGCCATCTGGGAGCCACATGACGGCCCAGCTGCCATTGAAGGTCTGGATCAGCTGAGGCAGGTAGCCCAACATCAAGCACAACACATGGTCCCTATCAATCCTTTGGCTTTGCAGCAGGCGGACGTGCAGAGATGGCAGCTTTCTCTTGACATGGTGATGCCCTGAGACCACGCCAGGCCCAAGCGCGACAGCCTCACGATCGCCATTGGACGCACGCTGCATCCAAATTTGCAAACACCAAGCCAAGGTCACAAGATCTTCGGCAGATGTTCAGCTGAGCACATCGTATGCACAGAAAGAAGAGCGCAAAAAAAGGATAGGCTACCAGACAAAATTGGCCTAGCGTCAGAGAAGTTTTCTGTGTTCTAGTTTGCATCCAGAAAGGACAACATACAGTTGAATGTCCAGTTTGATCACGCATGAGCCTGCGCGCCGCTGCAAAACACGCATGGCGGGCTGCGTTTTATTGTCGACCACACACCTGACCTCGCTCGGCTTGGTTGGGGTCACTTTGGTATCAACACCCACCTTTGTTGAGCTGGCTTGAAGAAATCTACATCAAATTTGAGGCCGGATCAAGACAGATGTTTTGAGCTTTGGGCCGGCAAAGACATCGAAACCCCCAAGTGCGCCTGAATGCACATCTGTCTAACTTGTTCATTGTGGCCTGCAAAGGCAGTCGTGAGATACACACCATGTCGTGCGCATTGAGATCCAGCTTGGACGCCTCTCACGCACCAACCGGCTCAACCTTCCTCACTTGTCCTGAACCGCAAACACATCAAAGCGCAGGAGGAAAGTCAGGCAGCCACAAAGCAAAGAAGCGAGAAGGATTTTAGAGGCCCAGCACGGCATGAAGATCGGCGTGGCAGACGAGTCACCGGTGCACGTTCGCAAGAGCAATGGGATCAGAACAACACGAAACTACCAATTCCCTTGGTCGCTTGGTCAAGTCATTAGCCTAGCGCTCCAAAGGGGTGGCATCGCAGTGAAACTGAAGAGTTACAGGGTTCTATGTGTATATCTTCTACGTATAAATTCTATGTATGTATTTATCTATGTTTGTTTATTTACGCACATTAAAAGTATACACTCACATCTCCCATGAAGCACCTTCACTCAAACCAGTCTTTTGAAATCAAAGCGCTCTACTGTGCCACAAACCAAGTTTCAACCTCTGAAAACATGCAATGAAACCAATGAACATGTTCAGGCCCACAGATCATATGCTTGACCTGCATGTGCGAATCACGACGAAGAACGCCAATCGTGCGAGGTGTACCTGTGGAGCGCCGCCACCTCTCGCGTCACCAAACTGTGTGATTTGGGCGCTGACGACGCGGTCACCAGCGTCAGCTGGACACAGCGGGGCGCGCACTTGGCGGTTGGCACCAACAAGGGCGAGGCGCTTGAAAAACGGTGGAAATACACAGAGACCCTTTGAACCTTGAACAGGGGGGAGTGAGGCAGTGGCCCGTAAACGAGATGTTTCAGGTACAGATCTGGGATAGCAGCCAATGTCGAAAACTCCGGACCATGAGTGGCGAAGCTTGCAATGGATTGGTCTGGCGTTGCAGGATCGCTTGAGTCTGTGGGGTGGAATGGGGGTTTTGTTGGGCTAGTTTTTTTGACTTTCACGAGCAAAAGTAAGAAAGGTAGAAGCAGGTCTTGTCAAAAGTGATTCCAAGTGAAATGTTCAATGAAAACGGTTCTCTTTGGAACAAGATTGCAAGTTGGGGTGTGGTTAAACGCCCGTATGGAACACCCAAACCCTCATTGCAGCTGGTTTCTCACTTTCCAACATCATTCTCTTTGTCTCGAGTTGGTTCCGAATTCTGCCAAATGGTGCAAGCGGGGTTGTTTGTCCCAGCTCGTTTACTGCAAACCGTAACTTCCCCCAAACCCATGCGTTAGGGCATGGTTTCAATAACGAGCGTGCAAATGGGATTGTTACACCGCGTGTGTCCTTTGCAACACAACCAACAGTCGTTTGCAACAAAAGCTGAACTGAGGTTTATAGAAGTCGAGAAGTCTTGACCTTTCGCTTTTCTCAACCTGGCTTGCCACAGGCCTCTCTTGGGCACAACTTCCCGACGTCGTCCGGCCATGGTCAGACTATATACTGGATCCTTTGTCCTGCATGTGCACTGCACTCCGACTCCACGCATTACCCCTGTGGAGAGGAGATCAAATTACCCACCCGATTTTCGGGCAACGAAATCAGCAATGTTTCTTTTGTTGTAGATCATCCTGGCAGCCTGCAAGCGTCTGACTCATCCCAGTCACGGTCGTATAATAGTCACATAGTGATATAGTTGGTTTGGCGGTTCGACTTCAACATTAGACTTGGGCTTCGAACATGGTTTGATTGGACTCCCCTCTCCAACCCTCTCTTCTTCTTAGAATTGAGCGACTCCGTCTTCATGTTCGCGGAATCCGCATTCTTTGCGTTAGAGTCCATATCATCCTTCTTGGGCTTTGGCTCCTTCTTCTGCTTCCTTGGCGCAGCCACTGCTCCCTGTGCTTTGGCTTTCCCCTTTGCTTTTGTCTTGCCTCTGGCCACGGCTTTTGGCACTGGTGATGATGGTGATGATGGCGCCAAAGGTTCGTAGGTTCGTCTTCTTCCTCTTTTTCTTTCATACGCTCATCGGTCGATGACTGCGTGGACCTTTTTGGTCCCACCTGTGCCCCGTAGGGCCTGCCCTCAACTGAAGTTTTTGTCGAGGAGTCGGGCCAATGTTAAAGCTTGTGCCTCTGCCCTTTGATGGGAACGAAGTGCCATGTGGAGCATGGCAAACTGTCGCAGGCATGGGCAGCAATGGTCTTCATTTAGACCAATGCTGTGGAACGGCTGGCAAGCACACCATCTTGTGGGGTGAGCTTTTGAAAGGAAGCTCACTGCACATTGTTCAGCCAAGGAGCCTGCTGCTTCCCACATGGAGCGATGTGCCACCTGCATGTGCGAGATCAGGTCACGAGGCCAGCTCCCACACATGATGCATTTCTTCACCAGCCTGCGACATAGCCGAGGATGGTCCACCAAGAGGTCGGTGTCCATCAGATCAAGCCCAAGCAACCATTTGCTATTCCAGTCATCGTTGATGGCCGGGTCATGGATGATGTGCTGAACCTTCTCGTTGTCCGTCAGAATGGGCGATTCTTCTGAGAAGGGAGAGATCTCCTCTGCCCCACCATGTGGAGTGCAGTTCAACCAAAGAAGGCAGCAGTTCTCCTGCGCAACCAGCGGGAGCGTAGAGAACTTCACCGGCATGTGGTCGTCGTCGTAGACCCACCAAGAGTCACCATCCTTGATTGCCGTGTTATAGTGTCCAGACGAGGCTTCGGACGAAGGAGACCCCAAGGACACTGAACGGAATGTGGTCAACCTCCAGCTTGGTGTTCAGGAAGTAGGGCAACCACACCTTAGAATCCCAAGTCAGCCGAGTGTGACTTTTGCGTCCTTTGGAGTCAAAGCGGTCAATGTGCAGGCATGTGACGTCTGCAGGTTCTGTAAGGGCGTGTAACCCGAAGGATGCAAGGCTCCAACTTGAAACAAGACCTTGAAGGTCTATTGGCAGGGTGCTTTTTTGCTCACTGCAGATGTATAGTCGTAGTGGGCACCCCTGGACATTGTGGTCAACCACCTTCAATTGACCATCGTCCTCCAGCCGGCTTTCCCAATAACAGCTGAGAAAAAGAGGGTTGGTCTGTTGAAGAAGATGATGAGCAAAGTCAACCACATCATGTTGCCGAAAAGGATTGGTCCATTTGGCCAAGAGGGTGGTCCACTGCCCATCCGCCCATAAAAGCATGGACTGCCCTTTGGACACATCTGCTAATTCCCCCAATGCCCCAGGGAAGTTGGACCATTGGTCCTCCTTCAATCCATCCGCTTTCAGTGCGCTCCAGGCTAATCCAGTGGCCGCTGAGTTCATGTAGCAGGCGGCAGCTGGATTCTGAAGCGTCCTCAGTGGAGGGTCAACGAAGGCCTTCACAGTTGTTCCGGCATCTTGCCAACATGTTGAGCTAGAGGTGTTCGATGTGAGCTGGCTGGGCGCATCCTTCCAAGCACCAGTTGCCAAAGTCCCGAATGACTTAGTTGGTGCCAAAGTCCCCTCATCTCGTTTGCATTGGGATGAACCAATGCCACAGTGATCCGCCAGGGAATGATGGCTGACGGTGTCTCATGGCCTTCTGGATCTGCTGTTGGGGACGTAGGGCTCCGAATCTTTTGATCAGGGCTTCTTGCTGAAGCAAAGTGAGCATCCTGGTCACTGTCTGGGTGGCCTGATTCATGGTCAGAGGTGCGTCCTCCTGTGCCTCCATCTGCTGCTTGTGGGAATTCCACCTCATCCGTGGAAATATGAATGAGTCGCCCTTCTCTGGCTCTGGCTGCAAAAAGTTCAGGCGCAGCAATGTCTGGATCAAGGGATCTGAGGAGGCCGTGGATTGAAGCTTCTGAATCCTCTTCAGCAGTTCTTCCAGCAAGGTTTTCAGGACCAAGATCCGAAGTGGATGGGTCCTTTCCGCAGTTGGAGTCTGCTGCCAGGTCTGCGTCTGTGTCATCATGCTGGGAAGAACTGAGCCTGGTCCCGCGCTCAAAAAAAACGAAGAAGTCCGTCTCCATGGCCAGACACTGAAGCGTGTCTTCGCGTCGAAGAACGAGGCGGGTCAGAGCATTCAGGAGTGTCCTTGAATCTGGTGTGGATTCGTCCTTGATGTTCTGGGTCTTCCCCAGCCCTTTTCTTCCTTTTCCTTTTCCCTGGCCCTTCACGCCATTCGACGTGGAAGACCTCGGGCGCTTTGCGCTCTGCTTGTCCTCGTCCACCTCCATCTTCACCCGGTGATTCAGGGCCCCCCACATTTCTGAGATCTGGTTGCCCTCCGTGTCCATGGTGAAGGATGGCGAGAAGGCTAGCAAGCTGAAGGAGCACTGGGCACTGTACTGCGGTCGGATGACAGTTGCAAACTGAGCATGTTTGCTGTCTCTTTTGAAAGAACGACAGAAACTTGTAAAACAGCCCCCCCACGGTTTCCATGTTTGGCATGGTTGTTCCAAAGATGTTGAAGCATGTCCCTCTGGAGAGAGGTGAGTCGGTCCTCATGCCGCTTCAATTGAGAGGCCATCCGCTCCCGAAGAGAGAGTGGGGTGCCGGATTTGGTGCTCTGACAAAAAGTCAATGTGAGTGGTGTGTGTCATATAGGAATGGTCTCCTGCAGCCTGTCGTAGCATTGACATCATGATCTTGGAGAACAAAGGAAGTGAGGAATGATCTGTTCCAGTTGCATCCAAGCCATACGCTCCTATTGGAAAAATGCATGTTTGCCATAGAGCCACCTTCTGAGGCGAGTGCATGCCATTTTTGGAGAACCACTTCTGCATTTGTCTGAAACGAACTTTGCATGCTTGAAGCCGAGCTTTCATGGTGTCTCTTTGAAAGTTGTTGTATCCCATCTGAACTCCCAGGTATTCGTGCGTCTCTTTGATCGGAATATCGTGTGAGCCCCCTGCAACTTTTGGAATGCATAGGACTGAATGGTCAAGCTTCTTTTTCACATATTGCTGCCTGGCGTGTTTTTGCTGTTTGCCTCCCCAGCGCAGAATGACGGCTGATTTCTTCATGTTCACTGTCATGCCCAACCTCTCAAGGACAGAAATTACAGTGCCAAAGTTTTGAAGACCTTGTCGAAGCTCAGCCATTGTTTGGAAAACAAAGCAGGCATGGCCGTCATCTGCATAGAAGGTGCAGCATTCCCGCATCCAGTCTTCGGAGGATTCTTGCGCAATCATACTCAAGACCAGAGCAATGAAACTCGCCCAAAAAAAGGGGGCGCCTCGGCAGCCTTGCCTCACACCTCTATAGGTGGGTTGTTCAGCTGAAAGTCCTTTCCATTGAACCACATATGAGGTCTGAGTGTGCCATGTCATCAGGAGTGAGATGAGATCAATGGGAAGACCAAGAAGGGTAAAAGCTGAGTAAAGGTGCTCCCGAGGCATGGCATCAAAGGCACCTGTGAGATAAGGAAGAGTTGACACCCTCCAAACACCGGAGGACGTATTGTCCCCTCTGCTTCCCTCTTATTGGCATCATATCTCCAGCGATGATGAAGAGCTTGGACCTTCCGGACGTGGGCTTGAACGCGGGTAATGGCTTCCCATGTTCCTCGTCCCGGGAGGTAAGCAAATTGTGGAAACCAGGTCAATGCTGGAAGGGTGAACTTCCTGGCCTCATGAACAAAAAGTGACATAACCGTCTTGGAGAGCGGAGTCTGAAGAGCAATCGGACGAAGCACTTTCGGTTCAACTGGAAGTTTGTTTGGTCTAGGCAGCAGTACAACCCAACCTTTCCGCCATTCATGAGGGATCATCCCTCCTTGCATCCACCACTTCACCCATTCAAAGACGAGAGGCCCAATGGAAGAGGCCAGCGCCTTCCAGACAAAGCTTGGAGCCACATGGGGCGGAACGCTGGTGCGCCCAAAGAGCCCTTGAAGCCCATGAACAAGATCCGGTGCCTCGAAGGGAAGTTCGGCCAAGTG